TGCCCTGTAACATTACCACTGCGAAAGATAAGTAAAAGGTACGGACCTCTTTGTACTACTTTCGTAAACATCCTTACTTCCTTTGAGTCTATACTTATTTCAAACATTTCTTTTTAATTTATATTAAAGGAAAAGAGGAGCTTCTCTGTGGAGAAAACTGCTCAACATCACCTTAAACAAGATGGAAAATTAACATCATCGCTAATGGGACAAATGGACCAAATCCTGTGCCACCTCGTAGGATGCACTAAGTAGGCAGTGCCACTTCTCTGATTTTACTGTTGAAGATGCAGTTTGAATCTAATCATGAGAAAACAAACGCCCACTTCGAGGGCCCAAATTGGTGACCACCTACGAATTAAGAGGTCTATAATCTTCAAAAGGGCCAGTGAAAATTAAAGGCTGAGGATCTGAAGACTGAACTGGAACCTTTTGCCATTTAGCATATTAATGGGGTGGGCCCTCCCGGTGGTGCAACACACACTGTGAAGCTATCCACAGCACTGCAGCACGAGTTAGATCCCCGTCAGGGAGTGACCCATAGAACACAGCAGACCTCTCCTGTCTCACCTGCTCCCCTCAGCAGTGTACTTCAGTCGATCGGCCTGTTCTGGTCCCCGCTCTGTCTCTGGTGAATTCTCTCTCCCTGCACAGCTCTGGCCAGTACCCCAGTTCTGTATGCATAAATAAATCAATAAATCTTTTAAAAATATTAATGGGGCAATAGGTGGAACTTGAGTGGGGCCGAGAAATCCATAGTATTGGTGCGTCTGTGTTAATTTCCAATTTTGATAATCATGTGATATGTAGGAAAATGCCCTCTTTGTAGAAAATATCAACAAAAATATTCCAGTATGAAGTTTCTCTACTGTAGTTGGGATTTTTTCCTATATCGGTTTGTGATTGACACAAAAAGAATTGCTTAAAAAAAAATCTACATCCCCAACATCTTGACCAGGCATGCCATGCCAGTCAGTCAGTATTTGTTGACTGAATACATGAAAAATATAAGTAACTACAACAAACATGCTTAGAAATAAAACAAATATTTACAGTGATTTGTTGGTAGGCTGTACTCACTTTGGGTAACTGGGTTGTTGTTGTTGTTTTTTTTAATAATATTTATTTTTACATATTTGTGTACCTTTTCCCATCTCAGTTGGGAAGCCCCATGGGGTTCTCATCACCAAATCACCCATGTGCCATCACCATAGTTCAGTGCACTTCTTTCCTCCATTTTTGATCCCATTCCACACTCCATCCCCATAAAATGTCTCTGGTATATAGTTGTTCATTATTATTATTATTTTCTCCCCTGGCCCTTTATGCTCCTGCTATGAGTGAAACCATCCTGTATTTTTCCTTATCTTTCTGCCTTATTTCACTAAGCATGACCTTTTCCAGCTCCATCCATGGTGCTGCAAAAGGCATGTGGTAATTGGTTTTTTTTGTAAGTTCTGCTTTTTTAAAATTTGTAAGTTTTCTGCCTCAAACAAATATTATTGTTAATTTTGTTGGAATGCTAATGAGTTAAGAATAATATTTTAGATATTGTAATTATAGTTCTTTTGTGTTGATATTTTGGGTATGTCCTTGATGGGATTTGACGTGGATCCTCATTCCTTTACAACACATAAGTCAGGTCTTAAAACTTCTGCTGTTGGTTGCTACATATATGTATAGCAATATATGTTTATGGATGAGCTGATTTATGTTGACTAGCATTTAAGTCTTATATATATTTTAAAGATTTATTTATGCACACAAGAATTGGGGCACAGACTAGAGGTGCGGGGTGTGAGAGGATTCACCAGAGACAGAGTGGGGAGCAGTAACAGGCAGATGGGCTGAAATACACTGCTGAGGGGAACAGCGAGTGGGACAGGAAAAATCTGCTGCATCATGTGGGTCACCTCCCTGGCAGGGTATCAAATTTGTGCTGCAGTGGCTGCAGACAGCTTTAAAGTGCTGTGCTTTAACTCACTGTGCCACCTGGGAGAGCCCTAAGTTTTATATTTTAATAGCTAATATTTTTACATAGTCAAAATTCTACAGGTACAATGAGGTATTTGGTAAAAAGCTCTATCCCTCCCTAACTATCCAAGTCATCTCCCTAGAGGTGACCAATGTTATCAGCATCCTGTGTATATTCCAGGGAGGTAGTCACACACACACCTATTTTTCACCCTCTACAAAACTTCCTTTTTCAGGAAGAATCTATCTTGGAGATAATTTTATATCATTATATAAGGAGCATAGTTTTTTTTAAACAAACTTCTGAATTTTTTCTACCTGGTGATGAAAACAATGTTAGGGGAGTTTTAAAGTATATTTTCCTTATATTGAGTGAGGTTGAGTATCATTTCATGGTTACTTCCTTTTCTGTATATCTGGTATAACCATTGCTTATTTTCCCTATTGAGTTTATTTGTAAGAGTATTTTATACACCAGAAAAACTTTTTTGTGATATGAGTTGCAGATATTTTATACCAAATTGGATTAGTCTTTTAATTTTCATGTTTGGGGCTTAAAACAAATCCTGACTTTGTTACTCACCATCTATGTGACCTTGAGCAAGTTACTTGAGTCATCTCTATGACTCAACTCATCCATAAAGTGTGGTATTAACAGTAATTACCACACAGAGTAACTGTAATTAAAAGAATAAAAATTTAGACCAGGTTTAAAAAATATGTAGCACTAACAAGGAAAGTACTGGAGTTTTTTTTAGTGTAGTCAAATTTAATGTTGGCCCTCCTTGGTGGCAAAACAGGCTAATGCACAGTACTGTGAAGCTATCGGCAGCCAATGCAGCATAAGTTCGATCCCCAGCCAGGGAGGTAATCCACATGGTGTGGCAGACCTCTCCTGACCCACCCGCTGCTCCTCTCAGCAGTGTACTTTATCAATCTGCTTGTTCTACTCCCACTCTGTCTCTGGTGAACCTCTTACCACCAGCCCCCACACCTCTAACCTGTACATGCATAAATAAAAAATCTTTTAAAAAATTACTGTAGATTCATTTTAGTTGCTATTTCAAAGGAAAACTTTTATTTACTATGGCTTCAAATTCTGGAAATGTAATGACCAAATTATTTTTACTTTTGACAGTACTATGTACCATCTAGCTACCAAGCCAAGCTCAAAATACAGCCAAATTCTCAATTAAAGAGAGTTGCAGACAAAGCAGTGAGGTGCCTACGGTGCCTTCACTCCTCACAACCCTCTAGTCACAATCCTCATTTTACCTAGGAGCAAACAGGGTTTCAGAGATGCCAAATGACTTGCCCCAGGCCAAGCTTCCTTAGTGTGTTGATTTGCAAAAATTGTTTAATCTTTCTTCTCCATTTGTAAACTGCAGGTCCCCAAGGCATATCTGGGGCCTACCCTACTGTTCCCAGGGTAGTATTCAGTAGAGCCCTGGGGCTGGCTAAGTGCCATTCATTCACTCAGCAAGCCCAAAGGCAACTCCTTCAGACTTCCTCCAGTGACCCCAGCTCTTAGGGTTAGAACCCATCAGACTCCTCCCACAGCACATCAAATCCTGCAGATTCTCCCTCCTCTGAAAAGTGTCTCCCACCTCACCCCTGTCTATCTCAGCTGCCACCATTTCTGGTTCAGCCCTGACTACCTTTCACAGGGACTCTTGCTGAATAAGCTCCTGCCAGTCAGCTGCCTGACTTCCACAGTCTTTCTTCTCCACCTGCCTCTGCAGTGCTGCCCAGGTGACTGCTCCACAGCATCACTCTAGTCCAGGTAGTCCAGCTCCCAAACCTTCAGCTTGCCTCTTTCCTAGATATTTGATCTGATCTACCTTGTCAGTTTGGCTTCTGAGATTCCTCTCCGCATGCAGCTTGAACAGGTTACCAGTCAGATTTCTCTCTCTGCCCTCTCTTCTGGGCTGCTTAAGCTCTATGAAGCTATCTTTTATTCTGGCCGCCCTAAGGTCTCTCATGCCCATCACCACCTCTCCCATCCAGCACTTGTGTAGTTAAGAACTGAAATTCTACCTTCTTTAGTACTGATTGAAATGCTTTAACACACAAGTACAATGCTACAACCCATTTTCTAGTGGTGCCAGACACTCACGGAGCCTGAACTAACAGGGTCTGCCAGTAACAATAAACAAGGCTCATCTGTCCAAACCCAGCTCTCCTCTCACAAAATCGTCCGCTTCTGACCAACTGCCCATCACAGGCTTCCGTTTTGCTTTTAAGAACTGGTGGCTATCAGTTAACAGCACAGCACACAGAAAACATTCTGGAAAAGTTGGTTGTATGAACAAACTTTGTTCTGGAGAGACAGAACATTACATCGACTTATTTCAGCAGAAGAAATCAAACAAGAGACTTGCCTTAGGTCGGTCACATACCAAATAGGAAAAGAAGCAGACTTAGCCCGAAGTAAACTTAGCGGAGGCCTCCCCGGGCCCAGCACGCCCCTTTGCACGGAGGAGCCAACAAACCCAGGTCCGCAGTCTCAGCTACCTGAAGTCACCAAAGAAGACGCCACCACCTGTTAACCACCTCTTCCTTTTCCTCTCCCTCACCTGAGACTCCCTTGCCCTCTCCACAACACAATCTTCCCTCCTTCCTAAGTCTCAGTTTTGAAGACAGTATCCGGAGAGGGGAGAGGACTGCTCTGGGAAGATCAAACGGCTGCAGACAGCGAGGTAACTGGCTCTGGAGAGGGATACCTAAGGCGGAGACCGCCACGGTGATCCCGGGGCCATAGTGACACTGGCCCCGCCCCCGGCGCCCGGCCCCGCCCCCGGCGCCCGGCCCCGCCCCCGGCGCGCCGGCCCTGACACGCCCTGACACGAGACCTACTCGTCGGGCCTGGGCGGGGCTGAACTCCTAATCCCCGCCTCCCTGGGAAGAGCCACCCTATGACGTAGCTAGTCAGAAGTCGTGTCCAATGAAAAGGAAGAGGTGGCCGCTGTTGCCCTATCCGCTGCGACAACACAAGTACAGACGCAATTAACTGGCAGACGCTACCCCTTGGTCTTTCCGGGTCCTTCCACGTTACACCCCTACTCCTGCCAATCCCCAACAGGAGGGGGAAACCCGAGGGACCCCCTAGTTGGTAAGTCTCTGAGGGCCGGGGTGCCCCTTGCCTTCGGTCCTGGGGCTGCTGCTGCGCCCCTTCCAGAGAGCGCGCGGCGGGGTTGGGGCGTGGGGAAAAGGCCCGAGAAGGGGGCGGGGAGCAGCCGCACACGTGGGACGCGGCCTGACCTGGGCCGGGCGGGGATCTGGGCCGGGTGTGTAGGACTAGTGGGAGCGTGGAGCCGGCCTTGACCGGTGGAAGTTGGGTCTCAGCAGTACGCGTGGGGATGGCGACCCCCGAGTCTCGCCACTCAGTGTCTCGCCCGAAGCAGTGTTTTTCTAAACCCTGTGCTGAAAGTGTCACAACAGCAGTTTCCCCCAAAGTGGGGGCTGTGGGGCGGACTTTCCCAGGCTGGTTAGCCTACCAGCCGACGCACATTGAGCGCTTGCTGTTTGTCAGGCACTGTGCAAGCGGTAGCTGAGTTTTCCGTACACCCAGCTGGTGAGGTAGTAGTACCATTTCAACGCACGAGAAGACCTAACTGAGGTTGTCTCTTGTCCGAGGTAATTCACAAATTTTAAGTGATGGAGCTCGGTTTTGAACCCAGGCTTTCTTAGGAAACCTCCACATCCAAGTCATGTGATAGGCAAAGCCACCTCTGGCACTCTAGCGACGCCTCAGTCGCCTCCCCAGTTAACCTCAACCTTGTTCTTCCTCTCCCTGATGGGGGTGGAATGGTCCACCGACCGGGTCTTGTGAATTAAACAGCAAGATTTAAAATAGGGCTGTAACTTCCTAAAGGAAACAAAATTCCAAAGCCACCCAACTCTAGTATTAAATAACAATGGAAGGTGTAGTTGAGGTGGGGCCTGTAGGTAACTTAGACCAGCAGGGTGGAATCCCTTTCCTACCACACTGTCTTTCCCGGTGGTAGTTAGCCTTCGGTTTCCTCATTTGTAAAATAGAATTAAAATACCAATGCCGCGGAGTGGGCATGGGGAGAGGCCCTTTGTATTGTATTTTTCTAACAGGACAGTAGCATTTTCCATATTTCAGTCCTGGTGTCTGTGATCTTAATTGTCCTGGTGTTGGATGTTTAGTATGTTTCACACCTTAAATATTATAGTATTACTGTAGTAAATCTTTTTTGGTTTTAAATACAATTAATATACTCAAAACTGTTACATAACTAATTCAGTGAGCTGTTTAGTATAATCACCAGGTTAATGGTCCATCACCAGAGCATTTTCACCACCCCAGAAAGAAACCCGGTGGCCCCAGTGCTCCAGGCAATTTCCTGAATTGTTGTTGGCCTCCAGCTACTGGGGGGAGAGGATGACCTGAGCAAACTCCACAAATAGGTTATATGGACCCCACCCCAAACCAAAGAGATCCTAGGCACCAAGAACTACAAATCCCATAAAGTCATCACGAAAGGGAGGATGCTAAGAACGCAGGGTGGAGTTAAGCAGCCAGGTTTGGTATATAGCCAGACACGTGGGCCTTGGGGGTCTCTTGGTTTTCAGCCAGCTTTCAGCGTGCTGTTGGCTTTAGATAGGCGAAACTGATAGGACACATCCACCAATTTATCTCTCCTTCTCCCTGAGTTACTCATTTCTTCATTTCCTCTTTTTGTGAATAAACCCTTCATTACCGTTTTTGTGTGTACCTGCGGTTGAGTTTGTTATAAGTCCCTTTTAAGCATACGGGTGAGGACCCACAGGCAGCCCAACCCATTTCACATTGGGGTTGCCCTGTAACACAACCACATGCAGGAGAGGATATTATGAGTACAGCGGCTCTGCACCCAAATTGAGGGTGTAAGTGGAGCAGGGCAGCTAACTTCTTTACCAGCTAGAACTACAGCCCTCACCGGAGGATGGACTGACCCCCTCCAGCTCCAGGGCCCATAGAGTGCAGGCTGCCACCATCCTCCGGCCAGCATGCAGAAGCCTGGGAAAGGGGGTTTCTGGCAACACCACATCGTCCAGTGAGCCCCACGTCTACCCTATAACCCCCAGATTCCCTGTGGGGAGATGGAGGGGGTTTTCAGCCCAGCCTCCCTGTGAATGGTATCTTGGGGAAGGGAAGGGCCATATTGCTATGTGGAAATTTGCCAAACTGAGGCAAAGTGAGTTCCAGGTGAAGGGGATCCAAAAGCGGGTGTACCACTACAGCATCCCAGATTTAAAACAGTGCCTGAAAAACACAGCTTGAGGGATGTGTCGACAAGCTAAGGTTGCAGCCTACAGAGCTGAACCTTTAAAAGCCCAAGGAACCACTGTAAACATGAGATGGGATCACCTCAAAGCAATATTAATAGCAAGACTAGAGAAGCTAGGACAAGCCAGCAAATCCCTGATCCACATTACTTCACAGGTAGAACTCCAGTTTTAGCTCTCCCCACTCTGCTCTCACCGAGAGGAAATATTAGCAGAAACAAAGGCTATAAAGACTATTTTCAGAACCTGTCACTACTGAAATGCCTTTTCACAGCAAAGATTTAGCAGTATGTACTGCTACCTGCCTAAATAAAAAAAAAAGGATAGATTGGGGGTTTTCATAAGCTCTTTGTATTAGATATTATAAGAGCAAATTCCAAGTTGCCTTTTCTGAGACCACTGTCAGCTCAGCGTGTATCCGGAGAACAGGAAAGGCGGCCACCCATGGGGTAAGAAAGTTGAATAAGAAAGGATGGTCAAGCAGTGGACAAATGACAAGTTGGAGGTTGCAAAACTGGTTTTCCTGATTACACTTCACTTTTCCATTTTCATCTTATTAAAATGACTCAGAATCCAGAGTTGCTAACTTGGAAACTTTTTGGTTTGCTATGTTAAATCTCAAAATGAAGATTGCTACCTACTCCCCACTTTTTTTTTAAGTTGGATTTTAAGTAGTTGCATATTAAAGTGTTGTACCCCTTTTGGGAGTACATATTAGAAAACTAAAACCAAAAGGTCTGCCAATTCCACTTAGCTTCTTATAGCTTGGCGCCAAGAAAGGACCTTACTAATAATTCTGATAATTAATACAAATTCTATTCAGTGAAGCTGTAAATAAAAAGACACGTTCTTTTTTAAACTAACTGAAATGTTTTATCAAATCATCTGTAAATATATCTTTCAGAAAGAAGGAAATATGACACCATTATATATTGCTATTTTACAAATGCAAAAGCATAAGTTTTACTTTTAAGTCACATTCAATCTGACTCTAGTTTTACAACAAAACTGTCATACTGAACGATTTTACATGGTACTACAGTTATTGGAAAGCTAATGATTTGGTGGAATATTGCCTAAGAAAACATAATAACATGAACAATAGTAAATAATTTAAATTCCTTTTTTTTTTTTTAAGATTTATTTATTTATTCATACAGAACTGGGGTACAGGCCAGAGGCTCAGGGGCGGTGAGAGGCTTCACCAGAGACAGAGTGGGGAGCAGAACAGGCAGATCGATGAAGTACACTGCTGAGGGAAGCAGCGGGCGGGTCAGGAGAGGTCTGGCTCGCCATGTGGTCTCCTCCGGGGCAGGCGGGAATCGAACTCATGCGGAAGTGGCTTCAGATTCTCAGTGCTGTGCTTTAACCCGCTGCGCCACCAGGGAGGGCCCAATAATTTAAATTCCTAAAAAAAATTTGCCAAACTACCACCTTGTTAATAAAAGGAAGTAACAGTCACTTTCATTCCTGAAAATATAGACTAGTTTAATAAGAGCTTTATCAGATAATTGGAATAAGTTATTACTCATAACAGAAAAATTGACTTTCAATAAGGCTTAAAAAAAGGAAAGAGCCACGGCAGACCTGTCCTGACCCACCGGCTGCTCCCCTCAGCAGGGTACTTGGTCAGTTGGCCTGTTCTGCTCCCCACTCTGTCTCTGGGGAATCCTCTCACTGCCCCTGCACCTCTGGCCTGTACCCTAGCTCTGTATGCACAAATAAATAAATCTTTAAAAAAAAAAAAAAAGGAAAGAACCTTTACAATAGTTATTCCCATTTTCTACCTTTTACTTCTCTCCACCTCTGGAGCCCACTCCTCCCCACCTTTATTGATTTGTCTGTTCTGGAGATGTCATGTACAGTGAACATAGAATATGTGACCTTTTGTGTCTGTCGTTCTTGTCTTAGTACATGTTTTCAAGGTTTATCCATGCTGTAGCATGCAGCTTTCTGTTATATGAATTAGCCACATGTTTATCCATTCATTAGTTGATGGAAATTTGTGGTGTTAACCATTTGGAGCAATTATGCATAATGTTGCAAGAACATTAGTGTCCGAATTTGTACTTGGCCATATGTTTTTGTTTCTGCTGGGTATATACCTACGAATGGAATTGCTCAGTCATATGATAACTCCAGTTGAACCTTTTGAGGAACTGCCAAACTGTTGTCCAAAGTAGTTGCAGCATTTTCTTTGCCCTTGGCAATGTATGACTTTCACCAGTAGTTGTTACTCTCTGTCTTATTTATATCACCATGCTAAGAGGTATATAGTAGCATCTGGTTGTGGTTTTAATTTATGATAAATAAGTGATGTTGAGCAACTTTTCAAGTTCTAAATGGCCATTTGCATATATTTTTTAAGAAATGTCCAATTTGGGGCTTATTTTAAATTGGGTTCTTATTAAATTATCTGTCTAATCTAGATACTACATACTTATCAGATACATGATTTGAAAATACTTCCTGCCATCCTGTGGGTTATCGTTTGCTTTCTTAATAGTGTCCTTTGATGTACAAAAATTATTCATTTTGATGAAGTCCAATTTATCTACTTTTTTCTTGTTTCAGGTCATATCCAAGAAGCTATCCAAGATCATGGTGATTTACATCATTGTGTTTGTCTAAGAATTAGCAATTCTAGATCTTGGATCCACTTGTATTAATTTTTGTGCATAAAATAGGAACCCAGATTTATTCTTGTACAGGTAAATACACAATTCTCTAAGCAGTTGAAGATTATTTTTACCCCACTCATTTGTCTTAGAATCATTATCAAAAGTCAGTTCACTATATATATTTGGTTTTTCTCTGTAGTCAAATTATCTTCCTCTGAGTTATACCCCCAAGGCTTTATTTCTAGACTCTCAGTTACTCTCCACTGATCTGCATTCTATCCTTGTAACAATGCTGCAGTGTATAGTGTCTTGATTACTGTAGCTTTGTAGTAAGTCTTGAATTTGGGAAGTGTGAGTCCTCCAACTTGTTCTTTTTCAAGAATATTTTTACTGTTCTGGGTGTTTGCATTTCTATGTGAATTTCAGGATCTGCTTGTCCCATTTCTGGGGGAGAGGGAAGACCTTTGACATTTTGGTAGGAATTGTATCAAATCTGTAGATTAGTGTGGAGTCACCATCTTAAGTCTCCTGTTCCATATCATAGATGGTTTCCATTTATTTAGGTTCTCTTCAGCTTCTTTCAGTACTGTTTATAGTTTAGTGTACACGTTATTATTTTGTTAAATTTAGTACTAAGTATTTGATTCTTTTTGATGCTACTTGTTTAAATTTCATGTGTATACTTGTGTGTGTGTGTGTGTGTGTATGTTTACAACTTTTTTATATACTGAGCTTATATCCTGCAACCTGGTTGAACTCATTTTTTAGCTCTCGTAGCTTTTTTGTGGATTCATTGGTAATTTTTAATATATAAGACCACATCATTTGCAAATAGAAACAGTTTTCCTTTTCTGTTTGAATGTTTTTTATTTTTCTTATCCAACTGCCCAGCTATAACTTTCAGTACAGTGTTGAATAGAAGTGGTGAGAACAGACAAACTTGGCATGTTCTTCATTTGGAGGCAGCTTTTTTGGCCTTTCACCTTTATGATGTTAGTGCTGGGATTTTTGTAGATGACAGAAATCAAAGTGTCTCAAGGAGAGGAGTTACTTTCCATTTCTTTTTCCCCCTGAGATTTTTTGTCATGACAGGATATTGGATTTTGTTCATTGTTTTTCCTGTATCTGTTGAGATAGTGGTAGAGTTAGTTTTAGTTAGTTGGTTTAGCTTCTTCCCATTCTATTAATATGCTGTATTACAATGATTGGTTTATTCTGTTGAACCACCCTTGTATTTCAGGGATGAACCATTCTTGTTCATGATATGTAATCCTTTTTTTACATATTTCTGGATTAGGTTTTTTGTTTTTTTTTTTTTAAGATTATTTGTGCATACAGATCTGGGGTACAGGCCAGAGGCTCAGGGGCGGTGAGAGGCTTCACCAGAGACAGAGTGGGGAACAGAACAGGCAGATCGACGAAGTACACTGCTGAGGGGAGCAGCGGGCTGGTTAGGAGAGTTCTGCCGCGCCATGTGGTCACCTCCCGGGCAGGCCGGATCGAACTCATGAGGAAGCGGCTTTAGATTCTCAGTTTCGTGCTTTAACCCGCTGCGCCACCAGGGAGGGCCTTCTGGATTAGGTTTACTAGCATTTTGTTGAGGATTTATATCTGTCCATATAGGATTTTGATCTGTAGTTATTTTGTGATAACTGCCTTGATTGGGTAAAAGGAAAAATTTGCCTCATATAATGAGTTGGAAAGTTACAGTAAATATCTTGCATAGAATTTTTACAGTCTTAATGCTGTTTTCTTAGAATCAGTTCCCAGGAGAAGGCATATACATTTACAAGTTATTTGTAAAGTATTGCCTATAAATTATGGGGTTGTTTTTTTGTTTTTTTTTTGGGGGGGGGGTTTGTAGTTTGAGATGAATATTGAGCTTTTGGTCTTTTAGAATAATAACCTTTTAGAAATTTTTCTTTGTTGGCCTTTCAAGTACTGAAAAAGAGTTTCTGAAAGGAAAGCACTCAGAACTCTCACAACCTAGCCCCCCTTGCTCTCCAGCCTTGTCTCCCAGCCCCTTTACTTTAAATTCTGGCCATAGCAAACTGCGTGCAAGTCCCTCGCCCCATCACCTTGCCTGACACACTCATTCTTTAGGCTTCAGTTCAAGGTCTTTACCCTCTGGACCTTCTGTGCACAGTGATCGTTCCCATTCCTCCCTGTGCCCCTGAATCTTCAACCCCATGTGGCGCTGCAGGCACACATCTATCTCCCCTAACGAGCAAGAGCCTTGAGAACAGGGAACAAAGCATATTCACCTCTGAGTGTGCCGCAGTACCTGACATGAAGTGGGCACTCTGAATGTGTGTTGAATAGCAAATGAAAATAGCCCGAGCAGAAGGAAGCTACTTAGAATTTGAAGTAGTTATGAGTTTTTATTTCGTTTTGTTTTTTTTCTTCAAGTCAGCCAAACATTTACAGAGAGCCAAGCTGGATCATGGGTGCTAGCAGTAGGATACAGAGCAAGGCAAGATCTCTGCCTTGGAGAATTCACATGTGTAGTACAAGGTGATCGAGTACAAACAAATACTGTTTGATAGAGTGACAGGTGCAAGTATAATCCATATATGGATATTGCATGTACTGTGTTTGCATTTGGGGGGAAGACACATGCCATACATATCACTGGAATGGGTTTTTTAACAGGATGAAAAGCTGCCATTTTCATCCTGCTGTTAAGCTGTTTAGGTTTAGTGTGGCTTTTTTTTTTTTTTTTTTTTTTTTTAAGATTTATTTATTTATGAACATAACTAGGGTACAGGCCAGAGGTGCAGGAGTGAAAGGATTCACCAGAGAGGGGGCAGCAGAACAGGCAGAGCTAGTGAACTACACCACTAAAGGGGAGAAGCGGGCAGGCTAGGAGAGATCTGTTGAGCCATGGGGGGCACCTCGCTGGCCGGGGACAGAACTCGCGCTACAGTGGCTTTGGACAGCTTCACCAGGGAGCGCCTAGTGTTATTGTTAAAGGACTGACATACTTTGCTCATTAATTCCAGTTAATGTTCTCAGTCTCCTGAATTCCACTGCAGTGCCTGAACTGGTGCTGTGTGAGGTGGTGGTTTAGAAATGGTTCCCCAGGCCAAATCAGTACGTACCAGTTGTTTCATCATCTACTGGGCCCTTCTCATCTTGTGCCCCCTCCTAATGATAATGTGATGAGCAGAACATGGTCCTGCTTCCTGATGGGTGGATTCAGGTCCTTAATTCATCATTCCAAGTGTTCCTCACTGGATTCATGCATTGTATCACAATTAAAGAAAGTGAGATGTGTCCAGATTATGCATTCTAAAGAGATTTTTGTCTTTTTATAGAACTGGTAGTAACAAGCTTTGTGTCAACGTGGCTTATTTTTCATACCAGTTTTCTCAACACTGGTCTCTCTCTTTCCCTCTTCCTATGAATGGTGCCTTTTAGCTTGTAACTTAGCTAATTAATAAATACATTTTTATTTTTTGACTGAAACATAAGATAATTTACCTACACCTGTAGTGTTCAGGAACCATTAAAATGATTGCTTAGGAAGATGAATGAATTTATGCTTTCGGACAGGGTGGGGTGGTGGTATTTAAAGAGAAAGGAAATGCAGATAGGTAAAACAGCAGATGAGGAACCAGGGAGAGATCATGAACGTACTTTCAAACCTCTAGAGTTGGCTGGACCTATGGAAGTAGACACAAGGCAGTAGTTTGCTTAGGAGGACTTCTTAGATTGGACATGAACCAGTGTTGTAGGTGAGATGGCATTGAGTCTGAAACAAATGCTCTTAGGACAGCATAGTAAAAAACACACACAGGGTGGGTGACCCAAGAGAAACTGGAATTTGACAAGTAAGAGAACCAAGAGAAAGATGGCCCAGAAGGATGGTCCAAAGGAAGAGTGAGACTGCATGGTGTCCCATGCTGCAGGAATAGGGCTAAAAAGGGACCACTAACTTTGGCTTGGAGGTGATCTATCATTGGTTAATAGCTCAACAAGAGCATTTCCGCAGAAATGTGCAGAGAGAGGGCCTCACTGCAGTGGTAGAGGAATGATTGGAAAACAAGTGGCCTACAACCACTTGTTTACTATACTTGCATATAGCCTGTGCACTTGGAATGTTTCTGCTAGAGATGGAGTACATACAAATGGAAAACTTAAGAATGTTTGTAAGTGAGAAAAGGAAAGGGAGGAGAGACTGATTAAACTGATAGCGGTACAGAGTCCCTGAGAAAGGATGAGACCTACTGCCAGGTGAGAGGTTTGCCTGGGAAAATGCAGGAACACCTATTTCTCCAAGGCATGGGAGAAGAAAACAGTAAGAAATGCCAAAAGTAGCTATTTCGTGGAGTGCGTAGGGCAGGAGTTAGGATATCCGTGTCTGTAACATCTGCCTTTTCTCTGAGTTAGGAAGCTGTGCTACCTGCTAAGTGACTGGAAGAAGTAAGAAGGGATAGTAGGAGATTGATAATCTGAGTTATTGGGAGGGACTCAAAGAATAAACAAAATTAGGTCACTTTATAAAGTCCCAGAAAAGGATGAAAGTGAGGCATTTTGATGACTGAGTCAGCTGTATAACATGGGTCAGTAGAGCTTAGTCATTGTCACAGAACTAGAATATCTGGTTGAACTAAACCTACGTTCTGGAATGTGGAGTGGTCCAGCGAGGAAGGAGATTGATTTTGGAGCAAGCACTTCCATTACACAGTTTGGGAGACGCTTGGCTTAGTACTGCACTCACTAAATTCCATTTCCTTTATATTGAGTTAGCCTCAAAGCACAGTCATAGGCTGACACAGATGTTGTATAATGCTGGATTCTGGAGTCTAGGCCCCGACTTCTAGTGCTCTCTTTGGTGTTAACAGCATTCTTCACTGGTAAAAGTTACGAAATAAAAGCAAATCGATTTCTAACCTATTCTTTGGTTGCATTCACCTCTAGAATTTTTTTTCCTGATTTTGTGATTTTGAATGTGATTTAAAATACATTCTGTGAGATGTCATCATTGTCTCCAGCGACTGGGGAGAAAGTCTGCAGGTGCCAGGGAAGCCTGCAACTCGCAGCAGCTGGTCCGCATGCCATGCTTCAGTCTTTCTAAGAACTAATGTGATTCCCACCTTTAAAACTTGATGTATTTTCATGATAAAGTGATAAAAATAAGCTATGCAAGATAAGACTTTTGAAAAGGCCATTCAAACTAGTTATGGCAATATCTGTGTCATTAAATATGTTTAACTCATTCTTTATTTCAAAAAAATATGTATTACATGTCTTTCCCTTTAATAACTAGTGTATTCAGCAAGCTAAAACATTCTTTCTAAAGCACGTTGAGCAGTCATACACAAAGGCCCTGGTAAATTTTGCCTACTGTTTTTCCTGTTCAATACTGAAACTGTATAGGAGAAAATGTTCAATGTTAGCTGTTCTCTATGAATAAAGACCTTGTGTGAACTGAAAGAAAGACTAGTATGTGCTCTGTGTTATTGAGTGGGGGAGAGAAAGAATAACCTAAGTGTTCTCGGCCAGGCTCACACTGTCATTTTAAGGTAACTGAAAGTCCACTGCATCCCACAGAGGCCCAGACAGTGGAGGTCAGAGTTCAAGAGGAGGCTATACCTGTGCTGGATTTTACCAGGAGGCAACATTTTACAGGTGAGCTTGGTGTAGTGGTTTTGCTGACAACCCAAGTTGGACCATCCTCTGAACAGGAAGAAACTCTCAAGAAGCAAACAGGAGCAAGCCCAGATATGTTTGTCTATGATTTTCTTTTTTCCTCTTTTAGGGATAGAAATGCGTAAAAGCAGCTGGCAGAATAGGAGACGTGGGAGAAGAAGCCACCCACAGACCTCGAGGCTCAGACAACAGAGTTCTGAGAGGCAAGTGCTGTACCCAGTGCCCCTCGAGCCTCATCCTGCGCCCTCACCCCATGACCCCTGGGGCTCTTGTCAGCATATGGGCTGAGGCATGGTTCCCAAGCACCCGGCACATTGCTGCTGCAGGCTGACCTGCCTGCCTGCTCACCACATTTTGAGCAGAGAGGAGATATGGCCACCTTCTTTTTGGAGAGACAGTGCCTTCTGGTGAGAACATTGGCCACAGACTCAGAAGCAGACATTACCTGACGTGGTTGGAGAGCTGTTTTTTCATATGTAGGCATTTTCTTTCTTTTTTCCAATGAAAATAGCTTTCTAGAAATTTATTTCATTAACTCAGCCTAAGTTTTTAGAAAGGATATATATTTTATAGCCTCTAGTAAATACAAAAGAGATATAAAGACCCAAGCAATGAACACCATGTACCCACAACCAAGCTTAAAAAACAAAACATAGTCTATACTTAGCATTTCCCACCCTCTACTTATTTTTCTGTGTGGAAGCAATGCAGTCTTGTCTCAGAACAAGATACACCCCATCCACATCAGGAAGAGACACCCCTTCACAGTTCACAGTGACATCAGCAGCTCCCCCCTTCATGAAAGGGGAGACCCCCATACCAGTCAAAAACTCCTCATACCAGGCCTCCTTATAAAATGGATCACAGCTGCTGGGATGCTTCTCTGGAACAGACTAAATCAAAGTAACAAAATGCAGCAAAATGTGGAAAGGACCAGAGTTTTGGAATTAAGAAATGCTCGGCTCGGCACTCTGCTTTTCCTGTGTGAAAATGGGCGAGCCCTTAACCACTCAGTTTCTTTTTGTACAAAACAAAACTGATTCTTCTCTTGTGAGGTTCACAAGTAATAGTGTCTATAAAGCCCCTGATGGACTGCCTGGCTCCTACGTTCATGATAGTCCTCATTGGGTACAGAGGAAAACACTCATCTAAGCCAGAGTGCCAGGCTTAGCCCATAGAGGTCAGAACAGTGCCTAAGGTTTGTGTTTTCTAAGGAGACCCACCAGTGTTCTGGCCTTCCCACAAGAGCACAACATGTAGCCAGCGTGACCTGCGCAAGAGGAGAGTAGCTGTGGCAGTCTCCTGGAAACACACCGGACAGCTACCTCTGGTCTCTGCAAAGACTGGAGCAGCAGCTTTTTGATGGGAGCTTAGACATTTGTCATGACACACGGTCCTCCTGCTCCTGCTGCTGCCGCTGAGCTGCCTGGGGGCGCTCTAATCCCTAAAAAGGGAGCACTATTTTCTCTGAAGGCATGCATAGTTAGTATTTATAGATGAAAGAGAAAGTTCTTTCATTCCTTCAACATATTTCTACAATGTGTATTCCTTTTGGTGAGGGGAGGTGAAAATTTTTATCAGAATCTATAATTACTACAACTGAGATGAAAAAATGCACAAAATGTAGAATGAGGTAAATATATATAATTTTAAAAAGAATTCTAAAATTAAGTCATATACTTTTATCACTATATCCTTCAGTCTATAATTGCCTCAAAAGCCACTTAGAGCTCTGCAAATCAAGTGTTTAAAACATGGTTCTGTTCCTGTGTTACTGAGCAAAATCACGTCTGTACCCTGAACCCAGATTTCTCTGTGAAGTTGGGCAAGCAAGTAAATTTAAACTCTGAATAGTTGAGTCAAGTAAAGAATGAAATTCACCTGGCTTTATACTTGCTGTTGAGTTGACAAGCCCGGCTAGTGAAATTCTTATTGGCAAAGATTTCTATTTTGCTTTCCATTGTAAAATTCCAAATTGCTCAAGTGAGGAGATAAGAAAAGGAAATGGTTCACATGCATTCTTCTAAAAAAGAGACAAGCACCAAAACCTCATCCTACTGTTGGTGTACATGCAACAGATAAACTGCTTTCAAAGAAAAGGAGAGGTCAGTGCTCCCCAATTAATCGGAAGGGCCAGAAGTGAAGGGTGCAGGGCTCCACAAGCAGAGAGTAAGTGGGACTCAGGCCAGGCCTGCTCTGCAGCTTACGTGAGTGTGTCGGCAGGCATGATGCGGAGTCACAGCAGTGCTCTCCAGACTCCGGCCCTGGCAATGAGGAGGCTCCATCGACCTCATCCGGCGCAGCTGGGAGTTCCTCTGCGCCAGGTAAGGCAGCCTGCAGGTAGGATTCCTGGCCCTGTGGGCAGGGGAAGATGATGCCTCCTGCCTCGTCATCTGGTTACGTCTATTCTGCCTTTCTTCCTCAGTCCTCTGTGTCTTCACTTGCATGTGGGTAATTGTGTGTATCACTAGCCCATTTGTGCCTTGGAGGAGATGCTGGCAGCAAATTGAAACTAAAGGGAGGAGCTGGGTGTACTGGGAACTCATGTGGAAGCCCGCAGCTCTCTCTGGACTGCCCTGGGCCCAGGGTGGTGACTGACTGTGCCAGCCCACCTCCTACCCTCAGAAAAGACAGGAGGCATGAGGGGTGGTAGACCGGAATCCACTACTAGTGGGTCAGATCACAGTGTTGGGAGTTGAAGTGGATTTTCTTTCCTCGGACTACAGATCTACCAGGGTATTACTTTGACCCTGAAAAGAAACGCTACTTCCGTTTGCTTCCTGGACATAACAACTGCAACCCCCTGACGAGGGAGAGCATCCGGCACAAAGAAATGGAGAGCAAACGGCT